CTCAGAGTCTCTGTGGCCCGTGGGGCCTCCAGCCTGCTCCACGAGGGCAAGAAGCTCCAACAGCTGGACGGGCCCTCGCTCGCAGGGTGGATTTTCTGTTTCTGGATAATAAACATGTTTTGAGAGATCTGTGTTTGCTGGGTTGGTTTCCCTGTGTTGGTGTTGAGCGTGCAGGGGAGGGGAGCCGTATAAGAAAGCAGGAACGCCTCGTTATTGCGCTTTACTCCTTTATTGAACCGGAACAAGACAGCTGCTATGTTGGACAGGGGACGCAGCCCCGCGCGAGGCCGCAGCGACGGGACCGGCACACGCACGCGGGATGGGGCGCGACGGCACCTGCCCTGGGGGCAGGGCCACGGGAACTTTGGCTGGGGGAAGCGGGTGGCAGGCACCAACCTCCAGACGACCTGCTCCCTCATCCCGAAGCAGCAAGGTGAAGCAGGGGCTGGCAAGTACCACCCTTGGGTGCCATACCACACACCCCAAAACCCAACCCTTCTGGTGTCTGCGCACCCGCAAGGGGATGGGGAACCCACTGCGGCTGCACCCACCACTTCCGGGATGACTACATCAAGCAACAGAACTACAGTAACCGTGTGAGGAGAGGTGCTGGGGAAGCGAAGCAGAGGAGCCCAGCGGGGGATGGCTCAGCACATCCCCCTGCAAATGGGGCCCGCGGGCCAGGGTCTCGGCGCACAGCAATTTGCGCCAGGCTTCTGTGCACAGCCCCTTGCCCTCAGGCCCTCTGCAGAGGGGAGCCTGGTCCCAAGGGCACGGGCGAAATGCTGGAGGGCTGCTCCATCCTGGCAGCTCCAAGTTCCTACTGTTGTGGGGGACGTGCACAGAAGGGTGGGGGAACGGTGGGGGACTCCTCTACTATGTGCTAGCCTGCTTCCTGCCCTCACTTCTTGACCTTGCCCTGAGCAGCGACGGCCTCCATGGCCTTGCGCACTGTCTCCTCGTCCCCCAGGAACTGCATGGGCTTGACGGGTTTCAGGTTCTTGTCCAGCTCATAGACGATGGGGATGCCAGTGGGCAGGTTCAGCTCCATGATGGCCTCTTCCGACATGCCTGCGAATGGGGAAACACCGTCACTCACGGCCCTGCTCACCGTGCCAGCAGGGGCAGTGGGAAGACCCCCATGGGCCTGACCTACCTTCCAGGTGCTTGACAATCCCACGCAGGCTGTTGCCGTGGGCAGCGATAAGGACTCGTTTGCCCTCTTTGATCTGTGGGACAATTTCCTCATTCCAGAAAGGCAGAGCCCGGGCGATAGTGTCCTTCAGGCTCTCACATGTGGGCAGCTGGTCCTCTGTCAGGTCAGCGTAGCGGCGGTCCTGAGGGAAAGGCCACATTCATGTAGCAGCCCAACGCAGTGTGGGCAGGCAGCGGCACAGCCTCTGTCCCACCACCCCAAGTTCTCTGCCTGGAGACCTGCTACATGTAGGCAAAGCTTAGCTCAGAAGCAAAGCAGCTCAGCTATAGCTGGTGCTCTGAACCCCTCCTGGGGAAAGCTGTGCATTGTGTGTTTTAGGCAAAGAGACCAGAGCAAACATCCATGCACAGGTCACGGAACTAATGATTAACGGAGGGATCATCCCCTCTGCTTTGAGTCTGTCAAGGGAGGGAGTGGGACAATCTTGCTGGCACCAATAAGCACCATGCACAACAGTCCCAGCTGCTGCAACAGACACAGAGAAGACCTTGTGGAGGAAGCTGGACTACACTGTAGGGAACAAGGATGGCTTTTAGGAGACCCCCAGCAGGACCAATGAAGAGTGATGGGTCTTACCTTGCTGATGGTGCTGTAGAAGGGGTGATCAGACTGCATAGGAGGTGGAGGGATGTCATACGAGCGCCTCCAGATCTTCACCTGTGCCTCGCCGTGCTTCGCTGCCGTCTCAGCCTTGTTCAAACCGGTGAGGGCCCCGTAGTGCCTCTCATTCAGGCGCCAGGTCCGGATCACAGGTAACCACATCTGATCGATGGCGTCCAGGACAGTCCAGAGGGTGCGGATAGCCCGTTTCTGTACCGATGTGAAGCAAATGTCGAACTCGTAGCCGGCATCTAGAAAATACCAGGGCAAGGGGGTTGAACAGGTGAAAGAGCCTTATGCAACCGGCAAAGGGCCAAGGGCGGTGGCCTCACCGCACCGCTACCGGTTGCGTCCC